GGAAACTTAGGGTTTAGGGTTTAGGGTTTAGGGTATATGGGGATAGTGGAAAAGAAAATGGGAACTACTCTAGTATATTGGGGTACTATAGGGATAATGGAAAAGAAAATGGAAACTACAGGGGGTTAAAGGGATTCTATAGATGTTATCTAGGGATTATATAGGGTATATATTGGGGTAATATTAGGATAATGGAAAAGAAAATGGGAACTACTATAGTATATTGGGATAATAGTGGGATAATGGAAAATAAAATCGAAACTACTTCTATAGTACATTGGGGTTATGTTGGGATAATGGAGGGCACTTGCATGCACAAGTTGTGTGAATCTGACATGTCAGGTGTGGATGCGATGCTAGGGTCGATGAGATCTTTCCAATGCTGCTTCTGGGCTTCAACCTCCAGCAAGAGGACATTCATTTGCCTTCGCTGCGTGCTGCCACTGCTCGGGAGGTTGCTTGCCCACAAGATTTTGCGTAGCCCCGATTGTTGAAACTGCGATTCCAAGTGCCTAAGATAAACGAGTCAAGAAGGGGGTTGCTCTGATCACGTCACGTCATCTAGCTTCACTGTGGCTCTGCTCCATGCTATTGTTCTCTGGGGAGAAGTGTGCTGTGGAGTGCCAGCAAACCTCACCAACCGCAGGACACGGTCCACTTCCTGCCCAACAATCAGTTCTGCAGCTTCGATTTGATAGGCCAAGCGTTCGATTTTAGTCTTTCAAGCTTTGTGAGCGTGACGCTGGGGGTGTTGTAATGAATCTACGCGATTGGACTGCAAAAGTTGCCTCCATCTTCCCCCCATAAAATCCTAAACCCCAAATGCTCAACATTTAATTAACCTCGCAAAGCCCTACAAAAAACCCGTAACCTGCAGGTCCAAGGATTCTGAATCCGTTCTCTGAGCCCACCAGCCAGGCTCAGCTCCCGCGCAAGGATAAAGAGTTCCTACTGCTTAATACTCACTAGGTTTAGGGTTTAGGGTTTAGGGTTCGGGGATTTAGGGTTTAGGGTTTAGGGTTTAGGGTTCGGGGATTTAGGGTTTAGGATTTAGGGTTTAGGGCACTACTTGGAGGGGACTTAGAAAGTAGGTTAAGAACACTTATAACCCATATGATAACCCCAACTATCCCCACTATTCCGCTACTCATTAAGTCCCCCTGGCCCCCCAAGTACCTTAAGGGTTTAGGGTTGGGGTTTAGGGTTTGAGGGTTTAGGGTTCACGGATTTAGATCTTCAGATTCAGGGTTAAGGATTTGGGGTCTAGGGTTGGGGGCTAAGGCTTTTTCAGGCTTGGGGTTTAGGCTTACTATTCCATCATTGCATATTGTGGCTACATCATAATTTCTGCCGGGAAAGCCGTTCTTGTCAGACCTGGCCAGCAGCAAGCGTGCACGGGTCATGGTGCGTTGTAGAGCTTGGGGCAACGATTGTGGTCAGGGCTCCAACTCTGCGGCCTTGATGGACTGCGGTTGCAAGCAGAGCCATTGGGGAGTTTCCTAAAATTAGGGGTACCCTGTTGGGAGTCCCCATAATAAGTATTGTAGAATTTTTGGATCTATATTGAGGTCCCCCTATTTATGGAACTTGCCATTAATTAATTGTGACCTAGGCCGGAAAAGCCTGGAGTTATGACCGGGCTAGAACACGGCAAGACACTGAGGCCTTTTCTAGTTTCCCTACTCGATTTGCCTTCCTCGTCCTGAGGGGAGCAACACATCCAAGAAACATGCGTTGGATACCAAGAGGGGTTTGCTGGTTGAGGGCCCTCAAAGCGGTTTGAAAGTGCGTTTGGGTTGGCAGCTAGAAGATCTCTCCGGCATCCGGCATGTAAAAACAGGGACTAGGATTCTGGCATAAGGCACAAGGGTAAAGACAGGCGCAATCTTTTTGACTGCCCATCCTGCTGACAGATGGTCTCTGAGAATCAAGACCAGATCACCTACGAAGGCCAAGCTTGCTCCCTCCCATTTGAGCTGTAGTCTAAACTCCTTAAAGGGTGTTTATAGGGGATTATATGGGGCTTAGTAAGGGGGATGTTAGGAGTTTAGACTATAGCTCACTTGGGGTTGTTCTCAAAATTATGGGCCCCTTTTGGTTATAGAATATATTACGGCACCTCTTGTTTAGGGATACCAGAATGAGACCCCTAATTTTGAGAACTACCCATTTGGCTGTGACACCCACTGACATGCAGTCCCATGCTTAGCACGCCCAACAAGTTGCGGAATTAAAGCTGCAAGTCAATCCTTTTCCCGTCTGATTCTATTGTTATATAGGGGGTTATATTAGGGCTACATAAGGGCTATGTAGGCGTTATATTAGGAATAATGGAAAAGAAATTTAAACTAATTATTGTTATTGTTGTGAAGCTTGTTATCCATTTTATTATCATCACTGATGGTGGCAGGCATGACCTCCATCGAGACAGGGGTGTATCGAGCGCTGCCCTGAAGCATGGCTTTGCTCCTGACGCTCAATGACCTCTGCAGAGGTCTCGTAGTAGTACTAGTGAAACATGAACAGCCGTGGCAAATGCAGAAGCAGTACAGCACACATATTAGTTTACATACATCTATGCCTGCCATGTATACACATGCAGGTATGTGTGTGTGCACGCCTGGATAGAGTGTCTCTGTAAAAAAGCCATCTAACGAAGGTAGGCTCTGGGCAAAAAGTGTTTGAAGACGAGGTTTGTGCAAACCATGTTGGCCGTCTCTATGACGTGCACGCCTCGGTGGAGTGCAGCACTGCCCGCAGATTGAGACTCATCCCAAAGTCGACGTTCTTAGCATAGACAAGTGCTCCAGATCGCCATTGCTTTCAATTATAACAATTTTAGTTCTGTCTTTTGCTGATTACCAATACTATGACGGGTACCGTTGTTGCGGTACTCTTGCCAACGCTATCAGAAGTTGCATGCTCGCTTCTTTGCTTCTTTCCGCTGATGCAGATGCCAGAACCTAGACCGCTTCTCCTGCCCCGCACTAACCCCAAAGCCTTCACAGTCACAAGGTCATCCTTATTCGTGAGCCTATCTCCCCAGCCCTATGCGGCCATTCAAATTGAGAGGTAGCCTTAGGATAGGCAGGCTGCAGGTAATTCGAACAACTCCCCTGTGATGCTACAGAGTTTAGCACACAAAGCAGCGAGGAAGTTAATTATGAATTATCATATACCCAATCTACTTAAAGGGGACTATACACCCTAAACGGGCCCCATGTTTTTTTAACCCCCCACCCTTTTTTTCCACCCCCTCCCTGTTTT